TATTTATTTATTTATTTATTTGTTTGTTTGTTTGTTTGTTTGTTTGTTTGTTTGTTTGTTTGTTTGTTTATATCCCACCCATCTGGTCAATTGACCACTCATGATGATCTCTCCCTGACCTAATATGAGGGCGTTTGTCTCCCTTGGGCACATTGCACCTTTTTGACTTCTTCTGGTGGCACCGTCAACTGGTCTCACTCACTGGTCCAGAGGTCCCATCATTCAGTTACTTTCCTACTGACTGAGGTGTCTTGTTTCGACATCTTCTAGTACCACTGCGGTTATTGGCCCTATCACTCCTGCCACTCACGCTCAAGAGATTATTTGCACAAGCCTATCAGAGATCTCAAGAAGCGGAGTCAATTGATATATGAGGCTTGGCTGAAGGAGGAAAAGTCAGATAGGGATCAGAGAGGAATCAGATAGAAATAGATAGCAGTGAGATAGGGATGAGATAAGGATGAGTTAGGAACTGGTGAGGAGATAAAAAGAACTGACTAGAAAAAGATAGGTTGGTGATGTATTTATTAAACTGTAAACAAAGAGAAACAAAGTAATGAGGGAACTGATAAGCTAAGGCCAATGAACTTTGATTACCTGAAAGATTTCTAATACTGTTTGGAATACTGTTTCACTTCAATAAATACGTTTTTGTTTATTCACAAGACAAGTGTCCAGTCATACATTAATGGTATTGTGGGTTCAGATAATCCACTGGTGGCAGTATAAAGGGAACGCACCTGTGAGCCTTTGTGAGGGAATAATAAATAAGGGACACAGGGTTCGCAACAAACTGGTGACCAATAGTAGGATTCGAAATAATCCAGTGTGCTAGTAAAAGGGATACGAAATAATCCAGAATGGAAAAGTTAATATTTTGAGAGTGAGGTATTCCTAGGTAGAAGGATGTATGGCTCTGAGGTGAATAAGTTGGTGACCTGCTAGAGTATTAGAGTCTTTTTAGGAGAAGACTTAGTGGCAGAATTTGTAAACCAAGATCTGAGGGAAGTCCTTGAAAAGGGAAAATACCTACACAAAATAGAATATTTACCTCAGAATTTGAGAGACCAAGTGGCTATCTCAGAGATCCAGTCTAACAGAAAGAGAACAGGCGTGGATGGAGTGGAGGCCTTGGGTCTAAATAAGTCTGAGGGGATTTTTAAAAGATTGAAGTGAAAAATCAGTTAAGCAGAGAATTTTTTTATGTCTGGAGGTAGAGGGATTGCCTCAGACTGAGAAACATAGTGGCCTGAGTGAAGTCAGTTGAACTGTAGCCATTATCAGCTGCCGAGTGAGAGTGAGAGCTACATAGTACTGCGGTGGAGAGGAGAGGAGAGAGAGAGAGAGGGAGAGAGGGAGAGAGAGAACCCAGCAGTAGAAGTATTTTAAAAGAGGCTTGACTTACTCAGAGATATAAATCAGTCCCTTAAAAAAAAAACACAGAAAAACAAACAAACCCGTAAACATGCCACCTAAAAGAGTTAAAAAGCCAGTAATAGGGGTAGTGAATGCTCAAGAAGCTGAGGAGAATGCAAATGGGCATAGAGATCCTCACATTCATGAGATACCTGAGGAATTTGAGGAAGAATCCTCAAGGGAAATTATTAAAAGTTCACTAGATCTGGAGAAGTGGAAATTGGAACACGAATATAGACTTAAAGAGAAAGCCATGGAAAAGGAAATAGAACTCTAGAGGGAGAAAGTGATGGCTTAAGAAAGAGCTAAGGAAATAGAACTTGAGATGGAGAAAGCGAGGGCTGAAGAAAGAGCTAGGGAACTAGAGCTGAAGGAGAGAGCTGAGGCCAGAGAAAGGTAAATGGAATTTGAACAAGAAAATAGACAAATGCAGTTTCAAATAGACATGAAAAAATTGGAATTAGTTGCTCAAAATAATAATAATATTAATAACTCTAGTGAGGAAAATCTCTCAAAAAATTGATTTAAAGAAATTTCCACAATATAGAAAAGGAGATTGCTCTGAGACATTCCTAATATTTTTTGAAAAGGCTTGTTGGGAGATGAGCCAAAGATTGGGGCAATACGAGCTGTAGCAGAAGGTGGAGCCAGAGAAACCAGAAGGGAGGGATGAGTCTGAGTTTAGTTACAATGGTGCTTTGACTTATGAATGCCTTGACCCACGAACATTTTGAGTTACAAACAGCTCCGTTCACAAAATTCTGCTTTAACTTGCAAACAGAGCTTTGACTTACAAACAGAAAAAAGGCAGGGGGAAAGGGC